CTCGCCCGGGCCAGCTAGCTAGCTTGAGGAGGTCGATATATCGGCAGCCATCATGAATAGCGCCCTCCCTCCTGCGATCATGCCGCGCTCGAGTCCATGACAGAAGGCGCTGCGTCGCCCCCTCGCGACTCCCCTTTCCCCACGCTCCACTCTTCCATCGCCGCTCTCCACTCTCCATCCAAAACTCGCAACTCTATATTCTATATTCTATGTTCTCCACTCGCAACACAAACAATCAGCCCAAACAAACAGCTTCACGACGACCGACAGCGAACGGCTCATTACCTCGCCTTACTCGCGCGGACCTTCTGAATTCTAGTACACAGGAGAACTACGCAATAATATAATGATACCCTGTGAATGTCCTTATTCTGAGAACATTTAGAAAAGCTCGTCATAGATGTTCAGCAAGAGTGAATGACTAACACTATCTTTACTTATGACAACAGTTATAACAATACCGAAAGCTATAATAAAGCAACTCATATCATTAAGGCTAAGAGTAATAGTAGTGACGATGATACTATTTCAAACCAATCATAACGAAGTAGCAAGTTGCTATAATTACGTTCGTATCATAACACCTTATTCAGTAACAGTAGCAGAGCCAAAGAAATGCTGACACACAACCATCTCCCCCATGCCAACAGAAGCACCCCCTTCCCCCTCCTCCCCCCTCGGAGATGTTCCCCTCCCCCCGGACCGGAAATACATGGCATGACAACGAGACCCGAATAACGAAGAAAATTGAGAAAGCTTCGCAAACCCAATCGATACGAGCGCAACGAAGCGGGTTTTCTTCGGGCTACTACGGTGCATGGGAGTGCATGCTTGCCCTTCCTGCCTACCTGCTTGTTCGTTCGCTCTGCTTCCCGGCCTGCTTCCTTGCTTGCCTGTCTTCCTAACGGTCTCTCACCTATTCCCATTTCCCCTTCTTCTCCCCTCTCTTCTCTCTGCTTGCTCACTCGAAGTCTATCTGCTTGCGTGGTGCTTCCAAGGCTATCTACATGCCAAAGTCTCTAACGTCCTGCCTTCTCCCCGCCCCCCCCCCTCCTCCTCCACCCCCTCCCTTTTGCCTGCGCTTGCTTGCTTGGTGAACGGCCTTGCTCTACTGTGGGAGCGGACACGTAAAGGCATTCAAATCAAGCATGAATTATTAACACATCGCGTCACAGTACAGGAGGACTGAGCACAAGAACACAAGGCGGCTTCTCGACAGAACGAGTTTTTATTCCCTTTCTAAATCGAGAAACACGGAAAGAGGAGAGACAAGAAAGACGAAAATTGTGGAAATGGAAGAACGTGGATGAATAAAAGGGGTTACCCACACACCTCTTTTTTAGAACATGAATAATTAAAGAAGCTTTCAAATTTTTCATAGTATAACATAACCCAAAGAACGAAAACTCTATTATAATCATATTTTATATTTTTTTTCCCCTACAGCAAACATCTGACGTCATTAAATGCTTAACTTAACACGCTGAACTCCTAATCTCAAAGAAACTATTTTTAGCACACCTGACAGACAAATTTCGCATGTCCACGCCAAAGGTCCAAAGTATCATTAACAAAACACAAACACCGATTCCCTAAACTCCCTCCCCCCCCTCCCCTCCCTTTGGTTTTCGTCAGCATTACCTTTCCCTTCATCCCAGCACAGCATACAGCATGCCTTTCACCGGGGGTCTCCGCCTGGTTCCCAAATGAAGTGTAAACATCGATTTCTCAGCGAATCCTAATTGCTTCTCGTCAAGGTATTCTCTCTCCAAATCTGCGTTGGATTAGCGAGGGGAAGGAGGAGGGATAGGAGGAGGAGGGAAAGAGGGAGAGGGGGAGGGAGAGGGGGAAGGAGAGGGGAGGGAAAGGGAGAGGAGGAGGGAGAGGGGGAGGAGGAGGGAGAGGGGGAGAGGTGGGAGGGAGAAGGGGAGAGGGTGAGGGAGGGAGAGAGGGAGGGAGGGAGGGAGGGAGAGGGAGAGAGGGAGAGAGGGAGAGAGAGAGAGAGAGAGAGAGAGAGAGAGAGAGAGAGAGAGAGAGAGAGAGAGAGAGAGAGAGATAGATAGAGAGAGAGAGAGAGAGAGAGAGAGAGAGAGAAATAGAAAAATATAAAAAAAATCCCTCTAGGAAAATAAATACCACCCTATCCAAAAATTCAAACAAGCTTCATTAGCAAAATATCGTAATCTAACCCTAGCATAACTCCCCTTCCCCCTTCCTCCTCCCCCTCCCCCTCTCTCTCCCTCCCCCCCTTAGCAGAAGCCAAAACCCACCGGAAACCTCCAGCAAGGCCGCCAGAGGGCCATCATCGGCAGCGGCGGCGGCGGCGGCGACGGTGGTCAACATACCGATTCGATCAGCTGACCGGACGACCCACCGGCACCTTGCAAGAAGTTGATGCTGCATAATCTTAATCGCTTTTTGCAATATTTTGGTTTCTATAACGTTTCCAACGAAAAGAGATGAAAGGAATGATACGTATTTATGTGCACTAACATGTGTT